TCTATAGGTGTATTATAAGAGTGAAGTCCTACATATCTATGAAACCAAGACACCTCAAGAGTGTGGAGTTTGAGTGAACAAGAAGAATACTTATTTCTCACAACCAAGATTTTAACATCAATATGCACTGCAATCCCCAAGATCAACCAAGAGCAATTTCCTGCAAGTACCATCAATACACAGAGTCTGATTGGCATAAGCATGTGGGAAGTCATTCAGCAGTCATTCTTCAGCTCTGAAACTGTCTCCCCCATAAGGCCTGCCAAAGTCCAGCGCTGTATTAAGATTTTCCTATTTTGGCCGAAATTTAGCAATCAAAGCTAGGCTGGGATATTCAAAGTTGCTTGGGTCAGAAGGGATCTTAACAGATCACCAAGTCCAACCCTCTGCTCTGGGCAGGAAAGAGCGCTGGGCTCATATGACCCCAGCCAGGTGCATATCTCGCCTCCTCTTAAAGACCCCCAAGGTGGGATAGCACCACCTCCCTTGAAAGCCTATTCCAAATTCTGACAACCCTTACCGTAAAGATTTTCTTCCTGATGTCTAACCTAAATCTGCTCTCCATCAGTCTGTGGCCACTGCCCCTAGTTACCCCAAGGGGTGCACTGGTAAACAGAGCATCTCCTATTCCTTGCTGCCCCCCCGTGAATCTTCAGGCAGCCAGAAGATCACCTCTCAGCCTTCTCTTGCGGAGGCTGAAGAGATCCAGGGCCCTCAATCTCTCCTCACAGGGCTTTGCCTGCAGGCCCCCAACCATATGAGTGGCCCTCATCTGAACCCTCTCGAGGTTATCCACATCCCTCTTGAAGTGTGGCACCCAAAACCAGACACAGTATTCCAACTGCAGTCTGACCAGTGCCGCATAGAGGGGAAGTATCACCTCCCTGGACCTGTCTGTCACGCACCTGTTAATGCATGATAAAGCGCAGTTAGCTTTACTGATCACTTCATCACCTTCATGACTCATGTTCATCTTGGTGTCAACAATGACTCTGAGATTCCTTTCCACTGCTGTGCTGCTGAGAAGGCCCTCTCCCAGCCTGTAAGCGTGCTAGTGTTTTCCTCTCCCATTGGTTCAGGTGGTTTCTATTTTATGGACCCACCTGAACCATTATATGGTTCAGATGGGTTCTACTTCATATTGTTATTCTATTTGCCTTTTAAGTTTTGTTCTCCTGTTTGCTTTCCTGTTTTGTAAGTTCTGTTGTTCTACTGTGAGCTACTCTGAGCCTTTGCTGGGAAGGGTGGTACATAAATACATTGATAAATCTGGTCATTGTCTTGAAAATTTGAATTTCACACACCTGTGAAAATAAGTTTTTCAAGATATGTGATCATACATGCTTACATATCTGAAGCAAGATTCCACCCCTGCATTTGTGTTCAGCCTCTTAAAGACTATAGGATGAGTTATTTTTAAAGACTAAATGATAAGTGGCAGGCTGTAATTATCTAATAATGGATTATACCACAGTTTACAAAAACAGCAGTTCATTTAGGTGGTCTCAAAACAAGCATCATGTATATTATAGCTTCTTTCACATTTTCAACGGCTACAACAGTGGTGCTCAACCTCACATCCATGGGGCAAAACCAGCCCACAGAGCCAGATCATCCTGCCTACAGACTTCCACATAACTAGAAATTTGGCAGTGGGGAGCAGTTACAATTAACACTGTCATCTTTCCCCCGAATGGAAGTTCCAAGCCCTGCAGGCCAGATGACATGGCCCTGCATGCAAAGGCACAGGCATGATCTGGTGGGGAGCCCAATTTGGCACACGGGGCTGCGACCATGGGCCTGATTTGGTGCACAGGGCCAGGGCCAGGCATCAGACTAGCCTTGTACACCAGATGGGGCCCACGGACTGGAACTGGCCCATAGACCAACCCCATACCATTCATTCAGCTCACAGGCCAAAAGGTTGGGTACCACTGGGCTACTGCCTACTTGCAAAAGAAAAGAAAAAAAAAAGCCTATGTGATTTTTTGAAGTGTACTTAAACTTTTCTTTAACTGACACACATGTACAGAATATATTTGCGACATTTAACCACTTGTGCATGTCAGTTTTAATTGAATGCAACTAACGTACCTGTGTTCTGTGAGAACGTTTACTGCTGATGGATGGTTGGCACAGTATGCAAGGTACAAGCTTTTCATTTGTGGCATGAGACTGAGAAAACATCCTCCAACTCTCTGCTGAGCTTCAGGCAGCCTGAGATGAAGAAACATAAGGGAAGATTTAAAAGATAGCAACACTTTAAGGACAAAATGAACAGCAAGAACAAGTCACACTTAGACAAAAGTGACTTCTAATTTCACTTGAAGGCAAGTAGATGACTTTTAGCGTACTATTTATACAATGTATAAATCTATATAATGATGATCTTGTAGTTATCTGTCACACACAAGAAAAAAAAAAACTGACCTGCAAAGTAAGCTTAGTAATAACTGGTTTGCTCTGAACTGGTGCTAAAAACTAATGGATACCATAAATGGAGCAAAGCTTTTCATTAGGATTATACAATGAGCTTATCTTCAACTCTTGGTTCACTTCTTTTAGTAGTCATTCTTACTTTGCTCACCCAACATATTCATAGATTCACAGATTGTTAGGGGCTGGAAGGGACCTTGAAGATCATCAGGTCCAGCCCCACAACTCTAGGCAGGAAGACACCTGGGGTTAGGTGACCCCAGCGAAGTGACTATCTAGTATCCTCTTGAAAACCTCCAGGGAAGGTGACTGCACCACCTCTGGAGGGAGCTTGTTCCAAAGTCTGGACACCCTGACTCTGAAGGAGTTTTTCTTAGTAGTAAGCCAGAAGCGGCCTTCCAGGAGTTTGTATCCATTGGTCCTGGTCATTCCTGGGGGTGTCCTAGTGAACAGTTGTTCACTGAGCTCCTGATGCACTCCTCTGATAGTGGTAAGACACTCCTCCTCAAGTCCCCTCTCAACCTTCTCTTCTTTAGGCTAAAGAGGCCCAGGTCCCTCAGCCTTTCCTCATATGGCTTGCCTTGCAAGTCCTTGATCATATGGGTGGCTCTTTCCTGGACCCGCTCAAGTTTTTCCACATCTTTATTGAAGGGTGGCACCCAGAACTGGACACAGTACTCCAGCTGTGGTCTCACCAGTGTGGAGTACAGCGGGAGTATCACTTCCTTAGTTTTACACTAGATGCACTAGTTGATGTACGCCGGTGTGTTGTTTGCCCTGCTGACCACCACCTCGCACTGACGGCTCATATGCATACAATGGTCAATCATTACCCCTTTCGGCTGCGGTACAAGTCAAGCTGTCACCACCAAGCCTATATATATATGTTGAAGGTTGTTTGCCTACAGATGGAGCACCTTACACTTGGAAGTGTTAAACTTCATCTGGTTCCAGTCTGCCCAACTCTCACACCTGTCCAGGTCTGCCTGTATCTGGCAACCTATCTTCTGGTATGACCAAACTGCCCCATAACTTGGTGTCATCTGCAAATTTGGCCAGAGAGCTTTTCACTCCCCCATCCAAATCACTGATGAAGATGTTGAAAAGCACTGGTCCAAGCATGGACCCCTGAGGGACACCACTGGCCACTTCACGCCAGGACAACACAGATCTGTTCACGAGAACTCTCTGGGTCCTACTGTGTAGCCAGTTTCCCACCCACCGAACTGTCGAGCAGCTGAGTCAACAATCTTCCAGTTTTCCCACAAGGATATCATGGGATACTAGATCAAAGCCTTTTGGAAGTCTAGCTATATAACATCTACCAGGTCTCCTGTGTCCACGTGGCGAGAGACCTGGTCGTAGAAGGAGATGAGAGTGGTAAGACAAAACCTACCCACGACAAAGCCTTGCTGGCTGTCATTCAGAATCTTACCTTCTGCGAGCACATTGCACAGATTCTATGATGAGCTTTTCCAGGATTTTCCCTGGGATGGAAGTTGGGCTGAACCTATAGTTACCTGAATCCTCCCTCTTCCTCTTCTTGAAGATGGGCACAATGTTGGCCCTCTTCCAGTTCTCAGGGATTTCCCCTGTGCACCACAAATTCTGAAAGAGCTTTGCCAGCAGCTCTGCGATGACCTCAGCCAGCTCCGAGTCATCATAGAAGTAGGGTCAGAAGGGACCTTGTAGATCTTCAAGCCTGACCCCCTGCCTGGGCAGGAGAAAAAACTGGGCTCAAATGATCCCAGCTAGGTAGGCATCAAGCCTCCTCTTAAAGACCCCCAGGGTAGGAGCCAGCACCACTTCCCTTGGAAGTTGGTTCCAGATCCTAGCCACCCTAACTGTGAACTGTGAGTCCATCCAGTCCTGCTGACTTATACATGTCTAGCTTTTCTAACTGGTATTGCACCCACTCAGCATCCACAGTGGGGAGGCTGCCAGTCCTGGCATGTCTCCTATGAGTCTTATCTCACTTGACTTTCCCCATGTTCTGGTAAAATACTGAAACAAAGTGGGCATTGAGGAGTTCAGTTTTTTTCCTGATGTTGGTTACCAACTGTCCCGAGGTGTTAAGCAGAGGTCCCACACTTCCATTTGTTTTCCTTCTACCACCTACATACCTAAAGAAGGACTTCTTATTGTCCTTGACTCCCATAGCTAACCTAAACTCCATCAGCACCTTGGCTTTCCTGATCATCCCCTAAAAGTGCTGGCCACTGTTGTATAGTGCTCCTTGAGGATCATCCCTAGCTTCCACTATCTTTTCTTCCTTGAGAATTTCTTATACACTTTTTGTTCACCTTGCCTATCTGAGGTTGTAAATACTAGAGCAAAGACTGCTGTCCCTTTAAATGCTGTTCTGCATTTAACTGATATTTTTTAAATCCACAGGCATACAAGTCCTCTTTAAGCATTAGGAAAGTGGCTCATTATTGGTAAGGTACAAACAAACATCTAATTTGACCCAAGATTTGACTGCCCTGAGGTCTGACCTGGATGAAAACAGGAGCAAGCACAATCATTTACAATCACCCTTCCAAGCTACATTGCTGTTCATTCACCAGTAGGTGGCCAGCAAGAATACACAGCCTGATAGGCTTGTCCCTGGTGTGAACCACAATAACCATTAGAGGTATACCAATATATTCATATCAGCACCAATAAAAGGAAAAAACTGGCATTATTGGCAATTAGCTTTTTTAGGCTGATGTGGCCAATAACGTCACCAATAAATGCCGCATGCATACACAGTCACGAATGAAGCCCAGCAGCATGAAAACCAGCATTCAGCTGGTAAGTCTGTGGGAGGGCGGGGCATGGGTGGGCAGATCAAGGCCCCCATGGTGAGAGAAGGAGTGGGGCTGGGCTGGGGCAGGGTGCGGTGCAGGACAGAGCTGCAGGTGGCTTGTCCAGGGGGCAGCTCCCTGCCCTGCTCGTACCCTGGGGAAGGCATAGGTGGTATGTGCCCCCCCAGATTTGTGCACAGGGCAAGGGCAGGCTGCCCGCTGTGGGCTCAGGGCCTGTGCCGGCCTCCTTCCAGTGACAGGGCTTGGCCGGAGCAGACAGCAGCACTGAGGTGGGGTTGCCAGGGAGGTACGATGAATTTGGGGGTTGCTGTAAGCCCACCCGCAGCCCCCCCTGTCCCCCGCCATCTCAGTGCCACTGCTGCTCACTCCAAGTGCAGCCCCCCGGCCCAAGCCCACAACCTGCCCTCACCCCATGCACAAATCCCAGGAGCACATGCCCCCCGTCTCCCC